TTTTTTTTTTTTTTTTTTTTTTTTTTTTTTTTTTTTTTTTTTTTTTTTTTTTTTTTTGCGGTACAGGATATCAAACTCGGAACCTTGCGCTTGCAAGACAGTTGCGGTACCGCTGAGCTAAATCCCCTGGCCAAGAGCTAAGTTTCTTGAGAGGAGACCAGGACCTCAGTCTCCTTCCTCTTGGCAATCACCATAAAACTTCAGGATGTTAGGTTTGTTCCCGCGCCCAGTCAATGACAAAGGATCCTGAAAGAAAGTCTCCTCTGACCTTTAGCTGCCTCATCTCTTTAGCCTTTTTCAGAGGTTATATAGTTCTGGGAGTCGGGAGAGGAAAAATAATACCGAGAGTGGCAGACAGCCTAACAGCCGGGGCTGAAGGTTTGAATCGTCCCAACACGAGGGTTTAAATCACTCTGGGAGCAGAAAGACAGTTAAAGCGATAAGGTCATTGTGGGACGGGATGTTAAGGATGAAATGAGACGCAGTCCCGACTGCTGAGGGGACTCGCAAACCAACGAAGGAGGAAGACACAGCCAGGAACGACGGCAGCACTCGAAAGGTCCTCGGGTCAGCAGGAGGAAGCGGCGAGAGCTTCCCTGGGCCCCGTACACACCACCCCCGCCTCCCCCTGCTCACTCACTCTTGTCCAGAGGCCGGGTTAGCTCGGCCCCGACGTCGCCATCGGCTCTGGGGCCCTGAGGCTTCACAATTAGGGGCACGAACAAGGATGTGTTCGGGGCTTTAGAGCCACCGGACTCAGAGGAAGAGGAGGCTGCAAGGGCAGGGGTGCGCCCTAGAGCCCCAGAAGAGGGCCCACAGACAGCGCGAAGGGCAGAGCAGACGGCGCCCCGGTGGCCAGCCTGGCGTCCGGCCGGGAGCCGAGCCCACAACAAGGCGCACCGGGGAAAAGACATCGAGGCCGCAGACTCAGAGAGCCTGGGGGAGCCCTCCGACAATGCCGTGGGCAGTGACGCAAGCCGCCAGCGCCTGTGGTCCGGAAAGACCCAGACAGCGAAGGGAGCTGTCCAAGGAAACGCCCGACAAGTGAGGAAAAAGTAGTGCGAAGAGTTGCTCTTCCATAAAAGAAAAAGCTCTTCAGAGAAAACCATCAAAGGCGAATTCTTCTCTACTCTTTCTGTTTATCTGAAAATTGGAAGCAGCTCTCCCCACTGAAGAAAATACAATCAGGCATCTCTAGGGGTATCACAAAAGGGGAGGAAGGGGGCCTCATCGCTGCGTCGCGTGACGCAAACTGGCCGCTCCGGTCAACACGCGTGCAGGAGCACCCGAGCGGTGGGGTCCTGAGGGCGCAAGCAGTGCGCTGGGCTGGACCTTCAGGAGCACTTCCCAAATCTTTATCGCAGTGATTAGCCTTCGTTTCCTAATAGCGTAACGTTGGAAAATATAATTTGACCTTTCCCCAGAAGGCTTGCTGAGGTATTTGGTTGTAGGTAAATAAGTAAGCAGTGTGACACGTGTGTACAGCACTTAAGATTTAACGTGAGCAGTTTGGGCACATCATCCGAACACGTGATGGCGACAGGGCAAAAATATGTGCCCTGCACCGGGCCGAAGTTTGGTTTGATTTGCGTTAGTTGGGTACTGTGTCCAAGTGAGGCCGCAATATTAAGTTCAAAACAAGCTGTTTAATATTCATCTCCCTTTATATATGTACATTGATTTCTCAATTTAAGGAAGATGTTATGAAATAAGAAACGTGTGCCAAATGGATTACAGTAGCGGTTTGCTAGGTGCCTGGTTTTTTGTTTTGTTTTTTGAGACGGCCTCTGGTATGCAATTCACACTGACCTTGAATTTAATATGTAGCCTAGGCTGACCTCAAACTCGAAGCAATCTTTCTGCCTCAGCCTCCCAAATGCTGGGATTATAAGCATGAGACACCATGTCCGGCCAATATACCTTTTAAATTTTTATTAGCACGTTTGCAGTACGTAATAAATTCATCCTGGGGAGGTGATGTACATAGCACACCTTAATTCTTTTTTTCCTCCCATTTCCTTCACTTTCCTCCACTTTTTAAACGTCATGGATACATGGCGCATCCTTTGCAATAACAATTTCTGATCAGGGCCCGGGATTTAGCTCAGTAGTTCCACCACCTACCTCGCAAGCACAAGGTCCCAAATCGGATTCCCAGCACCAAAAAAAAAAAAAAAAAAAAAAAAAAAAAAAAAAAA